CCTCAGCATTTTTCCATTTTAGCAGCCTATACTTAGCAGAGATGTAAAATTCTACACTATGAGGTTTTCTTGGGCTCAGCCCCATTCAGAAGCTTATGTTTCAATTTTCTTGAGAGGGCCCAGTGCAAATTAGAATCTTAAAAAAAAAAAAAGCTGGATAAATACCCTTGACATAGCCATTGAATTGTGACTCTAATGACCAAATCTTGAAAGCCCAATTGAATTCTAAATCCAGCTTTGCCATTAGATCCTGGTAGGTCAGAACGTTGGATCACTCACACAGTTTTCTTGGAACAAAATTCAGTTCACCATAATTAACACCAACACCCAACTAGGTCATGATGTTGAACTGTGTTTAGGGATTTCTGAAAGCAAAAGGGAACCAAGTGCCCTAGGCTCCAAATGCCACAGCCTGGAGAGCTGATGGTTACCCCAGGGACTATGAAATTAGACCTCACTCCAGCCTCCAACAGTTTAAATCATGAACAACTTTATGTGAGTAGAGTCCTGGGAAGTCTTTAGTGACACTCACCTGAAGATACCCCAGTCAGTAAAAGGCACCACACTAGATTCAGTGAGGAATACAAAGAGAAGGCAGTCTAATTAATCAGGGAAAACACACGAAGTTATGTAAATTAAGGTCACTGAGGAGAAAAATAATACTCTACATGGTTCAAAGAGATCACAACAGGCTAGACCATGAGGATAAGTTTTAGATTAGGAGGATTTGAGCTACACTTGAACAACAGGCAGAGAGTTGAGGCGGAAATGACAGAATAAGTAAGAGTGGTCTACTTTGGTTGCAGCAGCAGGTGTCTGGTAAATAGTTATGGAAGCAAGGCCAAGATAGGTTGAGGAAAAATTGCGGACAGCTTGGAATGTCTGGACAAGGGGTCAAAGCTAGTCTAAGAAGTACATTAGAAAAACGAATTCCAGTATGTGCGATCAACAAGAAGGAAGAGAGAATGAGGTTAGAAAACCTGCCCCAAGGCCAGGTACGGTGGCTCAGGCCTGTAATCCCAGAACTTTGGGAGGCCAGGTGGCTCACGTGAGTTAAGAAGTTTGAGACCAGCCTGGCTAATATGGCAAAACCCCATCTCTACTAAAATACAAAAATTAGACAGGCGTGGTGGTGCATGCCTTTAATTTCAGCTACTAGTGGAACTGAGGCAGGAGGACTGATTAAAGCTGGGTGGTGGAGGTTGCAGTGAGCAGAGATCGTGCCACTGCACTCCATCCTGGGCAACAGAGTGAGACTCCATCTCAAAAAAAAAAAAACAAAAAAACCCTGCCAGAAACAAGTGATTTCAAATCAAGACATGATAACTAAAGACAATGTTTGACTCATAACTGAAACTGAGATTTAAAAAGAAAGGTCTAAAGGACATTTCTGGGACAATTGGGGAAACTTAAATATGAACTGTATTGAACTGTATATTGGAAAACAATATTTGTGGTTTTTTTTTTGTTTTTGTTTTTGAGACAGAGTTTTCCTATTGTTACCCAGGCTGGAGTGCAATGGCATGATCTCGGCTCACCGCAACCTCCGCCTTCTGGGTGCAAGCAATTCTCCTGTCTCAGCCTCCCGAGTAGCTGGGACTACAGTCGTGCACCACCATGCCCAGCTAATTTCTGTATTTTTAGTAGAGACGGGGTTTCATCATGTTGACCAGGATGGTCTCGATCTCTATCCACCCGCCTCGGCCTCCCAAAGTGCTGGGATTATAGGCATGAGCCACCACGCCCGGCCGGAAAACAATATTTGTTAATGTTAAATTTCCCAACTATGTTCATTGTGCTATGCATCATCAGAGAATTATATAGAAGATATTATATAAGAATATCCTTGTTCTTAGAAGACGTCTATTGACATATTTAAGGATGAAACGTAATGATGTCTGCATCTAACTCTCAAAATGATTCAGGAAGAATGTATATATGTACATAGAGATAGAAGCAAGTATGCCAAATGTTAATAGTTGGTGAATCCAGAAACAAGATACAAAGAAGGACTTTAGAGAAAGAACAACAGGTTTAGTGATTGACTCTGGATGTTGGGAATGAGGAAGAGGTATAAAAGGCTTTGAATGTACATGACAAAAAAGGACGGTAGTAACACTCCTGGAAAAGGGAAGCTTAGGGAGAAATGATTTTCAGAAGACATATGCTGAAGCTGGCTCTAGATAAGTGGCAAGAGATGTGAGAATGACATTACGGAGAAATGCTTTCAGGCAGCTGGAAATAAAGGAACAGGACTCAGGCCACACATCAAGACTAGAATTACCAATTTTGGAATTTTTAAAAAAATATTCAAGTTTTGCTTCAAGATCTAGAACATGAAAAATGGATGAGATTTATGCTAGAAATGAGAGGGAGAAGAGACAGGTGAGAGATGACTGACAACATAACTTCCTGATAGAGTGAGAAGAGAACAGGAGAAAAATCAGGAGGGTTCTATATGATACAAACAAAGGTGGAAAAGGTTAAGAGAGTGCTCCACTGAAGGGCTGACAGCATCAGATAGCACAGAAACATTAAAGAAGGTGATGACTGGGAAATGGCCAGGAAATCATCAGTGAATTTTGGGATTCTGACTCTAGAAAGAGAACAGAGGAAGCAGAATTAAAGACTGGGTGTAAATTACCCACTTGTTCAAGTTCACCTTGAATGAAAACAATGGAACCAGAACCACAGTTAGAGGCAGAAGAGCCATGGGGAGAGCTCTATTCTCTCCAGGATGGGGTATCCTGGGGATCTGTAGATACAGAAGAACAAACACTAGGGACACCTTAGAGACCAGGGCAAGAAGTGGGATTACAGTGTGTGTCAGGGAAAGACAGACAGAGGACCTGGCTCTAGAAATGAAACAAATAAACCCTCCTTTAACATAGGAAGAAAAGGAGAGAGATGAGGCGGAAAGAAGCAGTGATAACAAAACAACTTAGGAGGGTAAACAAGAAATCACAAGATGAGGAATAAACAACTTGGCAGGGCAGGAGAAATTCGGTCACATCTGGTCTTTACACAGGCATACCACTCCGGCTACATCTGCTGAAGGTGATGGGGGAATTCGGTCATATCTGGTCTTTACACAGGCTCCGGCCACATCTGCTGAAGGTGATGGGGCGTCTAACCATGACTACCTAATGCAGATCTCAAAGGCCTAGGAACTGATGAGAGTTTCTAACCCTGAGGTGAAGAGATTCTTTAGTTAAAAACAATAGAGTTCAAGGTCATACTCCTATTGTCCTAGGATAAGACTTTTGCTAATCTTAGTAAAAAGGCCATTTTTAAATTATCAATGGAAGATCTACCTGAATTAGCAACTGCTCTCTATGAGGGCAAAGATAAGCTTGGAATCCTATGAAAAGGAAGCCACCTATTGAAAGCCACCACTAGACATTCTAAAGCTGAGTAGGGGAGGCCTCGGATTCCTTGCATCACCCGTTTTCAAAAACCTCAGGAGATCTCAACAGTTATTTCCCAATACCACGTGAACAACAAAAACAAACAGTTTCATAAGCTGTAAAAGAAATCTGCAGTGGCAGCAAAATACTTTATGGAGCTTATCTAAAGATAAGACATATGAGGAGGAGCAACATTATGGCCTTTTATTTCCTTTTAAAAGCCACGTCAAATAAAATGGCTGGAACTGGAATTACTTTATTGCTCTAGCAGGTATCCTCACAGATGTTTACAAAGCAGTATTAGAATGATGATGCAAAAAAATCATGACTACCTCAGGAGATGGAAAAAAAGCTTTTGATAAGTTGTAACATACTTTTATGATGAAAAATCCTGAGTAGGAAGAGAGAGGAAGAACCTGATCATCTTTCCAAAAACCCGAAAGCAAATACTGTACTTCATGGAGACAGGATGAAAGCTTCCCTTTCAAACCAGGAATCAGAGCAGCTGCCACTGTCACTACTTCTATTCAATACCACTTCTAAGAATACCTTTTTTTTTTGAGATGGAGTCCTGCTCTGTCACCCAAATTGTAGTGCAGTGTTGTGATCTTGGCTGCTGGGTTCAAGCGATTCTCTTGCCTCAGCCTCTTGAGTAGCTGGGACTACAGGCACACTACCACACCCAGCTAATTTTTGCATTTTTAGTAGAGATGGGATTCACCATATTGTCCTGTCTGGTCTTGAACTCCTGATCTCAGGTGATCTACTTGCTTCAGCCTCCCAAAGTGTTGGGATTATAGGTGTGAACTACCGTGCCTGGCCCTTACAAATACATTTTTAAAACACAGGCAGAAAACCTCACAGAAGAAAAAAGGCCTTGAATAAATGTTTCACTAGAGAGGACCTCCTAATAGCCAACAGAGAATAAAAGATGCTCATCTTCATGAGAAATGCAATTAGAATGACAATGAAATACCAGTACATACCCAGTAGTTCCATCAAAATAAAGTTCTATATCCATCAGTCAGGATAGGCTTGGTTAAGCCGCAGTAACAATTTTAACATTTCCTGGCTTAAATTACTGAGTTTATTTCTCTCAAGCTATACACACATACACTGTGAATCCACCTGGGGGTACTGCTCTACCTCATCCTCAGTTTGGGACCCAGGCCACGGCAGGCTGTGTCCGTGCTTCCACAAATGCCAAGGGAGAAAAAAATATATATATTTGTGCACTGGCACCTAAGTTTTGACTAGAAGTGACACATGGCACTTCCATTCACATTTCATTGGCTAAAGCAAGTCAAATGACTACACCTAACTTGAAGAAGGCAAAGAAGTATAGTTTTACCATGTGTCCTGAAGAGGAAAGAACTGTAAAAATTCAGTTAACAGTTCTAATGACTGCCACACTGAGAATATACTTTTGGTGAGCATATGGAGCAATGGGAACACTCACCCCCTCCCCACTGGTGGAAATATAAATCAATACAATCACTCTGGAAAGTCTGGCATTATCTAATAAAGTGGCAGATAAAATGGCCTACAGTCCGAGGCCTTGAGCCTCAGACTTCTTTTGCCAGTGCTGCAGACCTGCTGGTGCCTTTGTGCTTCCCATTTCTTCCTTCTAGAAGCCTCATCTATGACCCAGCAATTGCACTGTTAAAAGAAATAGATGTTTCAAGATAATGTTAAAAAATGTACAATAGCATCCATTTTCAAGAATATTCATGACAACATATTTCATAAAAGCTCCAAACTCAAAACAATCTAGTTCCATCAGTCATATAATGGATAAATTCATACGATAAAATCCTATGCAGCAATGAAACTACCTAAGGATACATGTAACAAAATGGGTGATTCTTATAAATAACAGAGTAAAGACGATAAAACACACACAAAAAATGTTTATTTTCAGTCACCGTGGAGGCTGGGCATGGTGGCTCACGCCTGTAATCCCAGAACTTTGGGAGACCCAGGGGAGTGAATGGTGAAACCCCATCTCTATTAAAAATACAAAAATCAGCCAGGCGCGGTAGCAGGTGCCTATAGTCCCAGCTACTCGGGAAGCTGAGACAGGAGGATCACCTGAACCTGGGAGGCAGAAGTTGCAGTGAACTGAGATCACACTACTGTACTCCAGCCTGGGTGACAAGAGCAAAACTCCATTTAAAAAAAAAGTCGCTGTGGACGCATACTCTGGGTTATCTAGACAGTGAACTAGCTTAGACTAGGGGGTTGGGAAGCTACCCCTTTTCCCAGTAAGGCAGGCTGCACCCAAGCACAACTTCCCACAGGACCCGCAGCTGTCTTTTCCAGGTGTGTATTATCCCACAGGTTCCCCAAGTTTGCAAGTGTTGAGCAGCTGGCATTCCCAGACAACTTCTTTTCTTTTTTCTTTTTTTTTTTTTTTTTGGAGACGAAGTTTCACTATTGGTGCCCAGGCAGTGGCACAATCTCGGCTTACCACAACCTCTGCATCCCAAGTTTAAGCTATTCTCCTGCCTCAGCCTCCCAAGTAGTTGGGATTACAGGCAGGCACCACTACACCCAGCTAATTTTGTTTTTTTTAATAGAGAAGTAGTTTCACTATGTTGGTCAGGCTGGTCTTGAACTCCTGACTTCGTGATCCATCCGCCTCAGCTTCCCAAAGTGCTGGGATTACAGGTGTAAGCCACCTGCACTGCAGGTCCCCACATAACTTCTATAAGCAGCTGGCACACAAATACAGATTTCCTGGTGTCTAAGCATTTTGCATCTCTCTCCACTAGTAAGGCTACTCTCATAGGTGTCTGATAAAAAAGAGAGCACTGGGGGAGCAGGGTGATGGGGAGTCATTCCAGCAGAGATGCCCCAATACATCTCTCCATAGGGACAATGTGGGGGTGCAGAATCTGTGCCTTCTCTTTTGCTTTGAAAATTCCCCCTTTCCTAGTAAAATCTATCCCTGAGCCTACACCTGAGATGTTAAGAAATTTATCTGCCGTCTGGTGAGAACAGGTGGCATCTTCAAAGAATCCACTTTGCATACCAAGTGGTAACTTCCAAAGTAACATCTTGTACTTAACAATGTTTTCTTTCTCTTTTTTTTTTTTTTTTTTTGAGGTGGAGCCTCACTCTGTCACCCAAAATGGAGTGCAGTGGTGCAATCTCGGCTCACTGCAACCTCCGCCTCCTGGGTTCAAGCAATTCTCCTGCCTCAGCCTCCCAAGTACCCACCACCACACCCAGCAAATTTTTGTTCCTTTAGTAGAGACAGGATTTCATCATGTTGGCCGGGCTGGTCTTAAACTCCTGACCTCAAGTGATCCGCCTGACTCGGCCTCCCAAAGTGCTGGAATTACAGGCATGAGCCACCACATCCAGCCTGTATTTAACAATATTATTTTAAAATAATAATAAATGGAAGACACCCCTCCATTCCCCCTATATTTTGAGAGACAAAACTTGACTCCATTGGAATGTCATCCAAACTCAATAATGCATTCACTACATTAGCCTGGAAAGTGGGGATCTGCCAACCTCAGAGAGTCAACTAAGACTGAAGACCCTACTGAAGAACAACAAGCAAGTCCTTTAGACAGCAATGCTAGTGATGAGGGATCTAAAAGTTCCTACTTCATCATGATGAAACGGCTAACAAAGCATCATGGCTTAGCAATGAGCAGCAGTCTCCTAAAAATCACCACTCTCCAAGGGCCAAGGATCATAACAACAACCATCAGTTGAAGAAAAACCAGGACCAAGCACACCAAAGATGCACCAGTAAACTGCAGAGGGGACAGCCTGTGAGAAGCTGAATAAAACTAACATGGCAACTCTTATCCCCTTGCTGGTTACCTCCCAAGTTTAATGTGGCACATGAGGACACAGGCCATGTCACGGTTATACTGGCAAAACAAATCTGAGAACACGTACTTGGGGCTGTTTTGATTCTGCCTCTGATAGTCTGCTTTCCTATAGAATATCACCTGACCTTGAATTACATTACAGATCTCTTAGTCACTATATTACTCTTTAGGAACGATATAAATTTTACTATCTAAGTCAAATCCCCTGTGTCATGATTATTCCAAAGTTTCAGGGTCACTGGCCTATGACAAGGAAACTAATTTTAGAATCAACACAAAACTATTCATCTCACCTTTGGCCAGGTAGCCAGTAACACCGTTCTCCTATATCAAGAAGTCTGTCTGTAAACAGATGAACCATGATATAGGCCTAGTAATAATCTTTACATGTTAAATCTGTTAACAGATCTTAGCAATAATGATAATTAAAAAAAATTATTAACCTATTAAATAAAAGAGGATTTAGGACTATCTTAGGTAAAAAAAACAAAAAACAAAAAAAAAACAAAGAATATGAAGGTGTAGAGGTGGCTAGAGATGCCCAAGGCTCTTGGTTTTCTAGTAACCGTAGTTTGAAAGAGAATTGCAAGAGAATGTACCTTATCCATATGGAAGATCAAATCCAATTCACACACATTTTCAAAACACTTATCCAGAGTCTCCACAAAAACCTAGGAAACAAGAAGAAATAGATAAGAGAAATAGGAATATATTCACAGCTTTATCAATGTCACATGTGAATAAAAAGGGCAGTCACAATATTATTTATGATGATTTAAAAAAATAAGCCTACCTTTTGTCTCTAGCATTAGTTGATCACCCTACTTCTCCCAATTCAGAGGGAATCATCTGGGATAGGAAAACCTTGTTTTCAGCAACACAACCAGCAGATACCTGGGGCTCTCTACCTCTTTATAAGATGCTAATTTATGGTGAGGCATAATGGCTCATGCTTACAATCTCAGCACTTTGGGAGGCCAGGGCAGGCAGATCACTTGAGGCCAAGAGTTTGAGACCAGCCTGGCTAACAAGGCGAAACCCCATCTCTACTAAAAACACAAAAATTAGCTGGGTGTGGTGACATGAGCCTGTAGTCCCAGCTACTTGGGAGGCTGAGGCATGAGAATAGCTTGAATGAGTATCGTCTGAGGTGGAGGCTTCAGTAAGCCGAGATCACACCACTGCACTCCAGCCGGGGTGACAGAGTGAGAGTCCCTCAAAAAAACCCAAAAACTATGTAAAAGAAATTAAAATACCAACTATGTACAATTCTATGTCCTCAATACATGTACAAAATGTTTTCATTATTACAGGGTTAACATAGTTGTGTTCCAATTTCAGTTAACATTAACTTCAAAACACCTTCCTTTTTAATTTTTTTTTAGTCAGAGTTATTTAGCCTACAAAATAGCTTCCCATGAGCACAAGATGGGTGCTCAGAGGCAAACCACCCATTCCAATGTAGCACAAGTGGGTGCTCAGAGGCAAACCACCCCATTCCACTGTAGCACAAGGTGGGTGCTCGGAGGCAAACCACCCTGTAGCAGCCAGCTGCTGGGGAGATAGACCCACATGCCTTGAGGAACCAATGCACACTATTGGAGCTGGTCTTGCTCTGTCTCCTCTATGTAAGTAAAGCTTTTTTTTTTTTGATACGGAATTTCACTCTTGTTACCCAGGCTGGAGTGGAATGAATGGCACAATCTCGGCTCACTGCAACCTCCACCTCCTGGCTTCAGGCAATTCTCCTGCCTCAGCCTCCTGAGTAGCTGGGATTACAGGCATGCGCCACCATGCCCAGTTAATTTTTTGTATTTTTAGTAGAGACGGGGTTTCACCATGTTGATCAGGATGGTCTCGATCTCTTGACCTTGTGGTCCACCCTCTTTGGCCTCCCAAAGTGCTGGGATTACAGGTGTGAGCCACTGCGCCCGGCCCGTAAGTAAAGCTTTATCCAGTGCTTGCAGTTTCCCTTGGCGACTCTGATACCAAGATGCAATGGGCAAAAGCATTTAGGTTCCTTCCCTGCAGCTGGTAACCAGTACACTGTGTTGTGCCAGATACCAACCACTGTGGAAAACTATCAGACATTATGTATTAATGTGCTATGACCTAGTAATTCTGCTCTCAGATAACATATCTAGCAGATATATACACGTATGCCAAAAACCACATACAATAATTTCATATCAGTGCTATTCATAAATCTTTACATTTTTAACAGTGCCAGAATATTTCACTATAAGGACAACGTAGCTTAATGGGTCTATTTCTCAATCACTGTGCTGGGTACTTGGTAAGCCCTTATAATCCTGCAGTTCAAGTCCTTCAGTTCTGGGAAATTCTGTCAGATAATTTTGTTGAGAATTCCTTCCTTTCCACATTCCTAATCAATTTTTCTGGAGCTGCTTATGTTCAAGTACTGGACCTCTGTCTTTCTTGAGATGCAGTCTCACTCCGTAGCCCAGGCTGGAATGCAGTGGTGCAATCTCAGCTCACTGCAGCCTCTGTCTCCTGTGTTCAAGCAATTCTCCTGCCTCAGCCTCCCAAGTAGCTGGGATAATAGGTATGCACCACCACGCCTGGCTAATTTTTGTGTTTTTAGTAGAGACGGGGTTTCATCATGTTCAAAGCCAGGCTGGTCTTGAACTCCTGACCTCAAATGATCCCTCTGCCTTGGCCTCCCAAAGTGCTGGGATTACAGATGTGACCCACTGCACCTGGCCTCCGTCTTATTTTCTTACATTTTCTCTCCCATTTTCCATCTCCACCCATTCTAAGATAGTTAACTTAAGTTTCTAATACTTCAATTAAAGTGGGGTTTTTTTTTCCATTTCCTCTCAGGTTATTTCCAAGAGACCATTTTGTTCTGTGAGTGTTTTTGTTTGTTTAGCCCCCATTTATGTTTATCTTCTTTTATTTTTCTGTGGGTTTTTTTGAGACAGGGTCTCACTCTGTCACCTGGGCTGGAGTACAGTGGTGTGATCTCAGCTCACTGTAGCCTCCGCCTCCCAGGTTCAGGCGATTCTCCTGCCTCAGCCTCCCAAGTAGCTGGGACCATGCCTGGCTAATTTTTGCATTATTAGTAGAGATGGGGTTTCATCATGTTAGCCAGACTTTCTCTGTAGCTTAAGAATAGGGTTTTGGGTTTGTCTGTTTTTTTTTAGCTTTTTCTTTTTCTTTATATGGTATCCATTTCTAAATTGCTTTTTATTGTTTGTTCATTTTGTCTCCTATGTTAGAGGTTTTCCTTAGATGTCTGATAATCCTTGTTTTTTCATTCACAGGAATAAAAGGCTGACTGGAAGCGCTACAATCATGGATATTTGTTGCCCACCCCCACAGCTGTTTGCTTTCCCAGTGAAATCTTATAATCTCCTGCCTGGAGAATAAAATACTGGTTGCCAGAAATGTCGTTGCTGACTGGTTGGCAAGTTAGTGTTCAACAATCAGAAAACACATGACCATTTAATCCCCAACTTGTCCCATCAAGTACACCTTGTGTCCCCTAAGCCAGAGACACTTCCTTTCATCCTCTGCAGGGAATAAACCTGTAGTCTTATGCTGGGGTAAAGGCAATTGACCAGAGACCTCAAATTGGGAAAAGGACTTAGGAAACGAATTGGTTCTCAGACAGCTTTCCCTGTCTGCTCCAGAACCACACCCCAGTGAGACTGTATGCTGCCAGCTTTCCCTACTGTTGGCTGGGATGTGGCTTGCCAAATCAATTGTTAGGCATTCAGATTCTTGTCTGCTTTCAAAAGTTTCATTGCTATTGTCTCCTTTCCTGTATTCTCCATCCTTGTATGTGTACATGTTTTTAAAATTCACTTTCTATAGTTTTAAAGGAAGAAAATGAATTTAGAAGTCCCTAATAGGATTTTAGAAAATGAAACTTGACAAAATCTAAAGTTCTTACAGAAAATTAAATGTGAAAGACTACTCCGCTAAGCAAATTTGGAAAAACAGTGATAATAAGGAATGACTTGTTTTTCTAGATATCAGAATTCATTGTAAAGCTTTGTTAACTAAGATAGTATAATACTAAGGCTGGGCAAAGTGGCTTATGCCTATAATCCTAACACCTTGGGAAACCAAGACAGGAGGATCCCTTGAACCCAGGAGTTTGAGACCAGCCTAGGCAACAGAGCAAAACATCATCTCTACAAAAAAATAAAAATAAAAAAAATTAGCCAGGCACAGTGGCACACACCTGTAGTCCCAGCTACTTGGAAGGCTGAGGTGGGAGGATTGCTTGAGCCCAGGAATTCAAAGCTGGAGTGAATTATCATTGCACCACTGCATTCCAGCCTGAGTGACAGAGCAAGACCCTGTCTCTAAATAAATTTTAAAAATAAAATAAAATTCTAAAATGGGAATATAGATCAGTGGAACAGAATATAAATTACTGAAACATACACGTTTACAAAATGCAATTTTTAAAATAAAGGTCATATTTTAAGTTGGGAAAAGACAAGCTAACTGATAACACTGGAACAGTTATCCTTTGGGAGAAAAATAAATGTTTTATGTCTATTTCAATGTAGACATAAAAACACCTAATAGATATTAATGAGCTAAATGTAAAAAATAAATTTGAAAAGCAATGGCAGATTCCCTGGGTGCTATCCAGGACCCTGGAAGGAGCTAGTCAGTGTGTGGCGAAGCTCTGAGGTGGATGGTACTGTTAAAAGCAGGAAATGGAGGTGCCACCCTAGTGGCCTGAGCTATGAACTGTGGCAGCCAGAGGATATGTGAGTAGAGCCAGACCATGTTTGGCAGCAGCACTGTGCCAAAAGGCTGTTTTCATTCAAGATGTTTAATGAAATGAAGACTGGGTTCTCAAGACAGGCTAGTTATCCAGGACAAGATGGACTAGCACCAGAAAAAGACATCCCCAGATAAGATAGTGGTGGCTTGGGGTGGGTGGGGGAGGGGAAGGGCTGTCAGATGTATCTGTTTTTCTTAGAGACTCAAAATATTATTATTCAAGATCACAATCAAGGTCAAGAGAAAGAAAATGAAGGACTAAAATACAAAGAGCATGCTGATGGGCCAAGAGGCTGAATTGAAGACATTGCGGACTCAGGCAGGAAAATAATAAGCCTATTTCATAATGAGGCAAGGAGTCAGGAATCCTACAACAAATCCTTTAAGAAATATACATCTGAGGAGCATAATGACAAAGAACATTCCTCTGATAAAGGAAGAGAAGGGCTAAATTCATCTGAAAATGGGCTGGGCATGGTGGCTCTCTGTCATCCCAGTACTTTGGGAGGCTAAGGTGGGCAAATTGCTTGGGCTCACAAGTTTGAGACCAGCTTGGGCAATATGGCAAAACCCTGTCTCTACAAAAAACACAAAAACTAGCCAGGCGTGGTGATGTGTGCCTGTGGTCCCAGCTACTCAGGAGGCTGTGGTGGGAGGCTTGCGTCCGGGAGACAGAGGTTACAGTGAGCTCTCATCATGCCACTGCACTTCAGCCTGTGCAACAGAGTGAGATCCTGTCTCGATAAATAAATAAATTCATCTGAAAATGATGAGGACAGACACAAACACAAAGAAAACCATCAAGAAGCAGAAGTTACTCAAGATAGAGTTCTCATGAAAGGCATCATCATAGTAAAAAGAGGGAAAAGAAGAAGTCTCAGTCCAGAAGCAGAGAGAAGAA